CTTCATGGAGAGGGCATTGTGATACAGTTTAATAGATCAAAGTAAAAAAAAATGCCGAATATATTTTTAAGAAAAACATTTTGTAATTTGAATTAAATTTAAAAAACCCAAAAACCTGGTCCCTATCTTTTCCTGCTCTTGTCTGAGCTTTAAGTGATAGCTGTACTGGGAATTTTTATGTTACCAGGGTACAAAGTGGCACTTGAACTAATATAAACAACTAAGCAATACATCTTGTGGTGGACAGAGTCTACTATTAGCAGACAGGAATATACTGTTCATATCAATGAGTTCTTGAAGGATTTCAAGTACACTGCAATTGCTCTAGTTGGGTTTTTTTAAAGCACATCACTGAATACAAATGTTCAGAACACTGAGTCTTTATCAGTTTAGGAAGTTGGTTATCTCAGGGGAATTTTTTTTACCAAGAGAAGAAGCCAGCATAGCAGATGTGTGGGCTGTTCTGCACAGCTTGGTTTAACCAGCAATGTTAGTCTTATATTTTGCAGTACTCTGTACCCAAATATGTGCAAGGGAAAATATAGTCCACAACTCGTCCTGAGGTTCTATCACATCAGCAAAACTGGGTATTCTTTATGGGAACAGACTGTCTTGCTCAGATTTTCAGCTCTAATCTCCCTCTACAGACAAACTTCAGCAAGTGAAGTATAGTTCTCATTCAGTCCAGACTGTATTTTTAGATGGCTGTGCAGAGATCTCTCCAGTGAAGGGATTCAGTTCTGCAAGGAAATAAAGTGAGGCCATCTGAAACTTAACCTGTTTGTCCACAGTCCCTAAAGAGCCAGGAAAACACAACTTCTCTTTAATGAAGGCGAAGTCATTTGCATGCTTATGGAAAGGATGATGTCTTCCCTCTCCTAGTGACTGTCCTGCTGGTAACTGGGTCCCATTAGCTCTGCTGAACCTCTCAGTGTGTCGCTGTGGGCTTTTCTTGTGAGGTGTGACTCTGCCTGATGCTTACTGACTGCCCTACAGACACTCCTTATGCCTCTTCCTACCCACTTGGGCAGCTAACTCAGAGCTTATTGTGAAAGTTCAGAGCTAAATCTAACCCTATCCAATTCCCAGCAAAAATGAAGTTATCACTCTAGGAGAAAACAACCTTATTTTGTTAATGCATATTAAACTAAGAAGTCTATATAATCTAGATGGTTTAGGCAGTGTCACTGGTGACACACATATAGAGGCATTGAAATACCTTTGTAGAATAGTAAGAAATATCAGAAATTACAAAATAGTGATACATGTTTCAAAGAGTACTGAAACAGGCTTAAAAGTCAATGACGTATGACAGCCTCTGGCCGTCATTCTGCATTTACTGATTAAATTTTCTATTTATTTCCAAGTTACTATTACTGTTGAATAGGCTTTAATAATAAAGTCCACATTGAATCTGGTAAAATAAACAGGATGGCACATTTCACTAATTAATTGGAGAAAGCTGAAGAAAAGATTAAGCAAAAGCAATCAGAGTTTTTGAAAAGTCTTGGTATAATCTTCAAAGCACCATTTGACATAAACTGTGTTTCTTTTACAACTTGCTCATTTAGTTGTAGCAAATACAAAAGTAATGGCTGTCAGTTAAAGTTTTTGAACTAATCTGGAATACAGAGTCATGAAGTGAAGTCATGTATGCTCTGCATGACTTGTGGATGCAGTGAAGAGAATTCTTAAAGCAGAAAAGTAGCTTGGCAAAGTGCCTGCTTTAAACTCCTCAGTGCATGCTTCTTATTGTTGAAAGAGTTTTCAGACCCACAAATTGTAAACCTATGGAATACACAATTGCATCATTTTATATAAACCACTGTAATTCTAGACAGCAAACTACAGATTGACGTAAAGCACTCAAGAGAATGTAGGACATAAGAGCTGAATGACAACCCATTTACATGCTGCTTTATTCCTGAAGGCCACTCTTCTCACACATTGTGTATTTTATGCTGAATTTAGAGGCACAGTCATGTCCTTTGTGTTGCATTAATCTAACAAAAGAAAATAATTGATCCAGATATCAGGCCTATACAGTTTGTGAGAAACAAAATAGAATGGAAAGAAAGGCAGACAAAGCTCTATTACTTGAAAACAAAACAACAATATCGTATAGGTACTCTGAATGGCATAGTTACTGATGTGGTTTTTTGGAAGTGCATAAAATAAATGCTGTCAGTACAGTAGAGGTGTTCTGCAGTGGAGGATGTGCACCTGAACAAATAGCTGAGGAGGAACAATGAAGTTCTGTATGTCTGAAACAAAAGATATTCCTATGTTACAATGAGATTTCATATTGCAACAGGAAACAGTTGCTTTTGTGTATTTAGAAAAAGCTGTGCCCTACAGAAGTCTTTAACAATTGGAAGACAATTGAGGCAGAGCTCCACTGAGGCTTAAAAGCCTGCCTGAGGTGGGGCCCCTGGTACCACACCTGTAACATCCCGTGTATTCTGATTTCAAAGATACTGGCTAAAACAAGAGTAGAGCTAGAATGAAGAGACACCTTCCTATGTCTTTTTCTCAAAAGTTCCTATGCTATATTTAGTTGCAGGAAGGCTTGAATAAAAAAGTTGGTGACTGACTAATATGCGAACTATGAGTTACAAATTAAGAATCTCAATGAATTAATATATAACATTAAATTTATTTTTCAAAGAGAAAACAAAACACTCAAAAAATCCCCCAACAACAGCAGGAAGAAAAAAAAAATCAACACCCCCCCACCCTTTCCAATCCAGTGGTGTGCTGTCACTATGAGACCAGCAGCTAAAATTTAATTTTTCCAGAGATAGTCTGTTAGAGAACTTGGCTGCTAGCATAGCATATTTCAACCTGACTATTAAGAAATAAGTGTTCCTACCAGAAGGCTTTAAATTCACTTCTTTCCACACAGTTCAACCTGTTCCTTGCTAGAATCCTATTATGCTTTTCCAATAAGGTGTTAAGACAACTGCTCCGGCTTACTATTTATGGAGCCAGTGACTTAAAATATACTGTGAAGTAAGTGGCTATTCCTTTTAATCTGTGACCTTAAAATTCAGCAGAGTTGATGTTTTGTTGTTCTTGTGTACTGAGCTGCCCATCAGTTGCTGATCCAATCTGTCTGGTGCTGTATCCTGTGCTCCCATTGCTGCTGAATATTGTGGCAGCAAAGCTCAGGGAATTTACCTACATCGAATTTTCTGTCACCCAGTGTCTTCCTCCATCAACAGCCACACAGTGTGGCTGTTAATACTGTTTCTTGTTGAAAGTGATATAGATTAAGCTGAGAATGATTAGGAGGAATGGTGGGGACAGGGAAAGAGGGCAGAAGACTAATGATGACAGATGAAATGGAACTCTTACAGACAGAGAAAACTTAACAGTGGCCTAAAATGGAAAAAAACCAAAATTCCTCTGCAGAATTGCCTCACATCAGACATTGCAGAATAGCCTGAGACAAGGTATGCCCACAAGCTCAAAGCCTGTGGGCATACAAGGAGGCCGTCTCTTAACTTCACATCATGACACTTTGCTTCTCTTTCTTCGCAGCCTCGCTTTCTGCATCCTAACAATATTGCTGCCTTGTAGCCCTTTAAAAGTGGAAAAAGGGAAAGCAAATAAGTGATAATCAGTAGAAAACATCAGGAAGCAGACCTGTTCCGTTCAGGATGGAGTCACGACCTCTGAAAATGCAAAGCTATCAAACAGAACTTTAGATTACTTAGAAACACATCATTAGTCCTTGTTGCACTGGGACTTAGGTTATTGTGGAAAAGTCATTAGTTTCTTTTCACATTCTCTGGAGAATTTCCAAAACCTAGCCCTTGCATTTCCTCAGGTTGTTCGTATGTAATTTCATATTTCAGCCCTTGTTAACTGGCGCAGTATGTGCTGTTCCAGGCTTAAATTCATAATTACAGTAGCCTGCTAAGGCAAAGCAGTCAGGTACTCAGCTGTCATGGCCTCTACTTCTAAGTGGAGTTAGACAATACTGAAATCCACACCAGCCCTTCACTGAGGGTATAAAGTCTTTGGAAGACATTGTAATTCAGGGAGCTTGTGTACACAGCCTGCTCATACTGCAACAACCTAATAGCTCTACTATGTGTGAAACCATTACAATTTCACTTCAAACATTGCGTTAAAAATACCCTGACCTTTAAAGGGTGTTCAGTGGTGGTATTTAGTAGTCTTTTGATAAAGCCTAAACTTAGTTCTTTACATCACAGCAGCTTGCTGGCTAACTCTTGAAATGACCTTCAGAAGTACCCATTGTGCATTTTCTTTCCAGAGCATGGAGCTGGGAACCACAGGTATTCTAGTGTTTTGTTGATTCAGTCATACTATAGTCTATAGTTTCATTATCTTACCTCTTTGCAGGGCCATTGTGCAAGCCACCTATTTTATCCTTAGAAACAAGTAAGCACAAAGCAAAAGTTAACTTCACTTAAAAATGACACAAAATTCAACTTTTCCTTGGTGTGCTATTTACCTAGAGCTCTTCCTAATTCCTGCCCAGGATGGTGTTGCCTTCTCATGTTGGACAGTTCTATCTACATTGCATAAGCCTTTTTCACAGGAGGTTTGATTTCTGAGGTTGCTGTTACATAATTCTTTGAGAGGCTGTAATTCCCAGACATCCTACAAGACCCTCAGCTTTTAGGCATGCTCTTTTGGTCCCCTTCACACCTTTTCCTTTTTATGTTTTGTTTCTTAGACAAATCTGTTCTTGTAGACTAAGAAAACAATTCTTTTATGATTGTGGTTCAACTCGAAGGAAATCAGATTTTTAAAAAATAATAACTAATAACACCCTGTGTGCAAATGAAAGATTCATAATATTCATGTCTCCTGATGTCAGGAAATAATTTCTTATGGCATCGTTGCATATGCCTGTCTTTTAAAACATTTAATTGCACTAAATTATCTATGAGCCTGGAGTTGGGAAAGCTAAAGTTTGTTCAGCTTTGAACAGAAAAAGATAATTTGCAGTGTGTTTGGATATAAAATAATGTGCTTTTTCTTTTCCCTCTTTCAGCGAAGTTTTTGCTTGAGAAAAACACATTTGCTCAGCAAAACAAAAACCACTTTTAAGGGTTGTTCTTGGTGGAAATTGCTCTATGCCCTATCACCCGCTTGAGTGAAACCAGACTAAGAACTTCTGTCATGGCAGCTTTTCTGCTGGGAGCTGTGTTGCTTATTGTTCAACCTCAGATAGTGCCTTCCAGACCAGCTATAAATTCAAATGCTGAGACTTCTTCTCAGTCTGTTCAGAGAGAGCTTTTAAAGAAAACATCTCAGAAAAATGACTTCAAGGAAAACATTCATTCTAATGGATCATGTCAGCAGCTGCCACAGACTATTATTATTGGAGTGAGAAAAGGTGGAACAAGAGCTTTGTTAGAGATGTTGAGTCTCCATCCAGATATTGCAGCAGCAGAAAGTGAAGTTCACTTCTTTGACTGGGAAGACCATTACAGGAATGGATTGCAGTGGTATATTAATCAAATGCCATTCTCGTATCCCCATCAGATCACCGTGGAAAAAACTCCAGCGTATTTCACATCACCTAAAGTGCCTGAAAGAGTTTATAACATGAACCAATCCATGAGACTACTCCTTATTTTAAGAGACCCAAGCGAGAGAGTGCTGTCAGATTATACCCAAGTGTTCTACAACCACATGCAGAAGCACAAGCCGTACCCATCCATAGAGCAATTCCTGATAAAAAATGGTGAACTCAATGTGGACTACAAGGCAATAAACAGAAGCTTATACTACATTCACATGCAGAACTGGCTGAAGTATTTTCCTCTTGATCATATCCACATTGTAGATGGGGACAGACTAATCAAAGATCCCTTTCCAGAAATAGAAAAAGTAGAGAGATTTCTGAAGTTATCACCACAGATAAATGCTTCAAACTTTTATTTCAATAAAACTAAGGGGTTCTACTGCCTGAGGGACAGTGGTAGAGAGCGCTGTTTGCACGAGTCCAAAGGACGAGCACACCCGCAAGTGGACACCCGGTTACTGGAGAAACTGCAGGAATATTTCCATGAACCCAACAAGAAGTTTTTTGAGCTTGTGGGCAGAACATTTGACTGGCACACATTTGTGGCAAGTTAGTGGTAAGCTTCAGAACCTATGTTCCAGTGTACAGTTAGAAGATTTAAAAAGGGCATTTAAGCTATTATTTATTTGTAAAATCCATAAATACTTCTGTACAGTATTAGATTCACAATTGCCATATATACTAGTTATATTTTTCTACTTGTTAAATTTGAAAGCATTTTGTATTGTTTTTCATGGTTGTTAACATTGTGTATGACGTGTCTATATGAAGAAACTAAATTATTTCATTGCAGAAGGTGCTCTCTTGAGAATGTGTTGTCTTTTTAATAAATAAGAAATTCATTTCGACAGAACATTTCTGAATTGTTTGAATACTTTGGCCTTCCTCGACTATTTTCACTAATTGCTAATGAATATGATAAATTTTACCTTTCCATTTTTCTTAAAGTGTGGATTAATAATTTCTTTTCCATTTGCAAATACTGTTGTAGCTAACAAATTGTTCAATCCTGCTTTATGAAATTATTTCCTGTCAAAGTGTTGGTACTTACACATGTTGGGAAATGCACACCCAAAGGACAATGGATGTCTCTGTGTAATTTGATATATTAACTGCTATACTTAACATTCATATTCACTGTTATAACAAGTGCTCCTCAATTCTTTGGCAGTACAGTGCAGGTTTCATGGCAGAATTTTAAAGATTATGTGGGGACCAGCTCATAAAATACAGTTAGCTGTAGAAATATGGTCAACCTGAAAACTTCCAGTCTCTGAGTATATGTATACTTCATAAAGAGGTATGGTTGAGAGAATTTAAGCAATATAGAGACTTTTTCAAGGCTGCTTTTGACTGTTCCTACATTTCATAGCACATTTATGCTTTACCATCGCTGAAAATGAACACACCAGAAAAATTAGTTGGTCTACATTCCATTAAGCAGGAACTTCTTTCATATAAATATTTCTACTTTTGTCCCCTACTTAAGGCTGCTTTCTATGAGTTTTCAGTTGCTTCATGCAACTGCAAATTGCCTATGGACTACTATTTGTCCAAGAACAACGATGCCAGGTCTTAATGAGATGTGTGTTGTGGGATTAACCCAAATTCCAGGAACTTGCCTTGTTTTCTGTCTGCTAAAAATGGAAGATAGATGTTAGTACATTGGTAAAAACTGCAGTTGTCCTTATCTACAATGGTTATGATGTCTTGTTCACCATCAGTTTCTGGAGTTGGAGTTAATCCAGTTTCCACACAAGGCTTCTCACAGTACTTTCAATCCAAGATACTGATTTTTATTTCATGATCTTGAGTTTAGTTGTTGAATGTGCAATGGCAACACCCAGTAAATTTGAGCTTGCTACAATCCTTTATAAAATTTAAATGTGAATTCATTCATTTTTTTCTGGTGAGCTAGTGCAAACTTGGGCACTATAACAAGGTATCATCTGGATGCAAATATCCCATATTATGCCTTTTGCATGAAAATTTGCAGATGCTGTCCCTCTCTCCCGCTCCTTGTGCACCTGCCCAAGCTGTATTCAGCCTCAGAGAGGTTGGCAGTGTTTTATAAAGCCTACAATGAAATGGTATTGTACTCAATAAAATATTTTCTGAATTGCATTTTTCCTTCTGTTTTTTTTTCTTCAGTTTCTAGTTTGGAAGACCACAATTTAGGATTCAACTCCAGTTTAGATTTCAGCTAAATGTTACTTAAGAGCTTAGCTATTGATTGAATAGCGTGTTGCTATTGATATGAAAGCAGTTGTTTGCTGCTGGGTTGTCTGAATGATTCACTGCTGACCCAGGATATACAACAAGGAGGCAAAGTTTCTGGTGGCAATAATGTCAAATCTTACATGAGGCAGATGCTAAAAATAACAGAATCATAGTGCCATCATATTTCACTTAAAGTTTTAGAAGAGAGAAATTCAGGGAATTTTGTGTAAGGTGGGGCACTATTTTTTCCTACATTTACCCCATTACCTTGGTAATGTTATCTCTGCAGGAGCCAGCTGGACCAAAGTGATTTTGGCCCAGAAAAAAGGCTTCCATTAGTGCCTTCCTGCAGTCTCAGATTAAGCTCACCACATTTACCAATGTTTTCCTGAGAAAGGAAAAATACTCGCAGGCATGTGACCAGGAATTGGAGGAGTACGTGAAGGCAGGGCTGCAACAAGTCCCCCTGCAGCAGGTTGAACATGGTATCAGTGTTGAATTGGAAATGCCTGTGCAGTACTGACAGCTGATGGTGGCACTGAGGATACTTTTAGTGCCTAGTGCTGCTTGATACCAGTAGTGTGCCTGTCTCTAAGCAGGTCACATGCACACATTTCCCCACACACAATATGGCTTGTCTCTCTATAGAAAGAGAAGTGCAGCATGAAGCATTAGGTCACTACTACTGTTACAGTGCTAGGACCTCATAGAGCGTTGTGTGCAGGATCCAGAGGTGAAGTGACCACTTCAGGGGACATTCTGAAGCACAATATGACAGGAGTCACATCCTCAACACCAAGTTCAGAGGGTCTCACAGAAAGTATATCATACCCAATGCTTACACCTTGTGCAGGGATGGCATGACTGTACAATACCTTATCCTGAAGGTAGCTTTCTGTTAGCTGTGATGGTGATGAGCAATAAATCCCACCCACACTAATAATAGCAGTAATGTTTACCTGCCATAGGTTCAAGAGTTCAAGAGTTCCAATTCTGAAAACTATTCTGTGTGAATGTTCTGTTTAATCAGAGCAACATTCATTTCCCACACTGTACCTAAATATATTTACTAGGCTGTTTCTAAATGGGTGTTAGACAATAACAAAAGCCATCAGAAAGTGAAGAGAGAATGAAAGAAGAAGACCAAAGCACATTCCATTTGGGACTCTAGAAAAATTAATAATGACCTTTGAAGGCATGTCATATCTGCTCATAAAAGAAAAAAGTCCCTGAAATACCTTTCCAGTGTTATGCAACACAGGTATTTATTTCTGTAAAGCTCTACTAGCTCAGGTTTAAAGTACAACCACTTGGATGTTGCTCCAGAGACCTGTTTTCTCAGGACACCTAGCCAAGCCTGTGATCACTCTTGAAAACTAAAATAAATACAAGGCTTTATGAGAATTAAAAGCCGGGCACTCCCCTTAAGTACAAAAAGAAATGCCAACCAAATAATTATTCAGGGTGGCACTGTAGGACTGTCTTGACCTTTGCGTCACAACACAGATTAGTGTGAAAGCCAGATATTGTACCTGCAGAGGACAAAGATTAGACTGTAATGATTATTCCAGGAACAATGCTGGAAGTTTATGGAAAGGGAAAAGAACACCAAAGCTATTATTTCATCAAGAGTATTTCTACATGTACTGCTGATGCTGCATGATCTGGTTACATGTGCTTGGCTCTTCCTTGTATATTTTTCCTGCTGTTACAGGTGAAAAAACATCTACTGTTCTTGAATAAATCAACATTTCTTTGGAACATATCATTAAAAAAATCTATCAATTTTTAAATCTTGCTGCATTCATTGATAAGTGTGTGAAACTTAACACTATAGAATATTTTAGATGAAAACTTTTTTAGTTTGGTTCTCAAAGCTGATAATTTTGTGTTTCCTTGTCTACTGCCATTTTCAGAGTCTGCAGAAAGCCAGGATTTCTTTCCCTGTTATCATTCAAACAGATTTCAAATGCCAAAGAGAAATATGGGTTATGGAATATGGCATATGGCGTATTTCCATGTATCTTCTGTTTTATCTAGCATGGCTGACCATGTATTAAAAAATATCACAGATGTACTCTATGAGTAAAAGACTGTATATCAAAACTATTTCTCGTAGGAATATTCCTTTTCCATTCTTTTTTCTGAAGTCTGTGACTTGAAAGTCCTAATTATGACCACATTGTGAATGAAATTTTTCAGAAGTATGTTATTAGATGTTTTCTAATACAGTAACAAAGTAATAAAACTAAAATAAGGCCAAAGCATTGAATTAAATTAAGTCAACAAAATGTGTTGAACTTGGTACTAGGTATATACCTGCTGAAATAGTTGCAAGGATGTGCCTCTACAGCTGTAACAATATTTTCTCATTCTTATGCCAGCAACTTTTATTTATATAACTCTGTCTAATGCCCAGTTATGCTCAAAATATTGTATTTTCAATATTAAATCCTTCATTTTTCAATTGATTGGAGAGGCCAGTTATGGGTGAAAGCCATGTAAATATGTGAATGGAAAAAAAAATCATTAATAATTTCCTTACAAAAAATAAATGAGATTGCATTTATGTCTCCTAGAAATTTAGCAGTGAACAGTACTCTTTTCCTGCAACAATAACCAATCCACAGTAAATTTTCTACTTAAATACTACACAACAGTTGATGCAGTTTTTAAGTTAATAGTGCAATAAACACAACAGTGATGCTGCAGATTTTAAATGCCTTCTGGGAAGTATAAAATATGCACGTCAGGGTGGGGAGCAGCTGGATGCATAGGAGCATCTGATCTCTTTGGTTTGAGAAAGCTTTTTTTTTTTTTTTAGTGGTAAGGAACATGAAATTTTTGGCTTGGAGATAACTTTATGTTGTCTATGAAAGCAATGTCTTCCTTTAACTTCCAAGTCAATAATCCTATCATAATTACATCACCTTTATACTCAGTATTTATATTATTCTCTGCCAAAATGTATTTTAAGAGCCAAACCCCCGATAGCAGGTGCATCCCTTAGTATAAGAAAAAACATTGTAATACAACTCTGACACATGGCTTCAATTACAAAGACACATTGCCTTGCACAAAGGAGTATTCTGAAACTGATGGCAAAATTCTTCTTTTCTTAATTTGGATGAAGATTACAGAAACAGGAACATGTGTACATTCACAAAAAACAGAACAACTAACATGCCCTCTTCTCCTTGGTTTCCAATCAATCGGTCAGCAGTATTTCATCAATAAAGATCAGGCCAGCTTTTAGGAACCAGCACAGTTCAGTCCAGATAACTCTCAAAAGAAAGAGTTCTTGCAGATATTCTTAACCAAACACTTTTCAGGGTATCTCCTATTTTTGTAATTTGTGTAATTCTTCTTTCCTCCCTTGTATGCTACTGTCCTGTCACATCTGTGCTATTAACTATTATATTATCACCCTATCAGAAATAGATCCATTATCTGATGGTGTTTTTATAGAATACTATTCAAATGAATGTGAAATCACAGCATTATGGAGCTCAAAAATACTTTATATGTGTTTGCTCTGATATGTTTTAAACTTTATTTGAATAAAATTCAGCTTATTTGGTCTGTGTCATTGCATGTCAGGAGAAGCTATTGTCACACCATCATCACATCTATGTAGTTATCTAATGGCAAATGATATGTTATAAATAGAAATGTATAATCAAAGTAACAAAACTTTCTTGTTGCTACAGTAGCAACTATCTTATTTGACATATTATGAGACTTTCCCCCATAATACAAATGGTATCACTGTTTCTTTGGAAGTGACAAAAGCATTTTGAGAACCATCTCTTAAAACATGCAGGAATAGGGTCTTTGTTCCCTCTGTGACCTTATGTAAAATACAAAATGCAGGAATGCCAATTGTGTTCTATAATCAATTTACAACAGTTGGTGAAGTTTTGCTAAACCTAAGCTATCAAAAGTGTGCATGTTCTGAAAGAAAAGGAATTGGAACCATACCAGCTGTTTTTTGTTTTATGTCCTATAATTTTCTTGCCAAAATATATGTGTTCCTCTGCAAAGGGAATAATAGAGGGGAAAAAAGGACACATGCTACAGAAACAGAGCACCTACTCTATTTTACAGTGACACTGGCTGGATCTGCAGCTAGGCAGCTGCACGAATAAAGGATATTGGGAGTGGATAGAAAGGGAACACTGGATACAGGTGAACATCTTGTCATAACCTCATTACTTCTGTTCATATACTTACATATAATGAACAAGCACATTCAACTCTCAATTCTCAAAACAACTTCTTTTCCAATTCTTGTCTGTGCCAGAGAAAAGGCATCCAAATCCATCTGGGTGTCCATTGATTCCCATGCCTTAAGGCATTTTTTTACAAGTTAGCACACTATAATGCAATTGAGTCATTCACCTCAGTTTCTAATCTTCCCCTTTTTTGTTTTTAAATTTGTACTGAGTTTTCCGTCTGCTACAAACAAAAAGGTTTGATGAATAAATTATTTACAGCCTGCAGGAGGAGAAGAGTTCATATGAAACGATTTGCAGAAAAGAGACTTGCAAAAGAGGATATTTTCTCATAGAAAAAAGAGCATCTGTGGACCAGTTGGTTTCTTGCTGACTAAGCCAACTGGATATGATACTATTTTGGCAGCTTCCTTATTCTTGTGTGGGCTTAAGCTGTATGAATTCCATAAGATATTTATTATTGAATGTAACTATATACTGAATATTGTACATATGACTCTTTATGATGTTGGCATTCATTTCCTAACTTAATTATTTAACATCAAATTATATTAAAATCCTAGTGGCATTTTTTGACAATAAACTTGCATTTTTAATTCTCAGACATTCATAAACTGGAAAAAAAAGTAAAAGTTGAACTGCCTCTGATGCTCCTTTTTTGACTCACAGAAAAACCATTTTTCTACAGCCTTATGCAAGAAAGTTACATTTCAAGCATGGTAAGTAAAGGAAAGGATTTACACTCCTTTAAAAAGATGGCAGTGCATGAAAAATGGATTTTAGCAAGCGAATTAACTGTTCATGTCATTGTACAGAGATTGACAGCTCGTGAAAATGAAAAGGAAATCCTTTCTTGTTCTCAGAGCAAGGGTAAAATGGTGTCAGAGCCTCTGTGGGGACTTGCAGAGTTCTGGTGTGTTTCCTCCACCTTAGCACAAGCATGAGAGTTTTACTGCCTCTCATCTGTCACCTCAAAAAGATTCCTTTTCTTCCGCTGTGCTCCAGATTACCAGCCTTAAATTGGTCTGTTTAGCTGTGAGTATACTGGAAATAACAGTGTAAACAGAAAGGAGAAAGTGGCTTAGGAGAAGCAGCTCTCTACTCCACCCACATAACTGCTTGCCTTATAAACAGTTAGCTGAACCAGCTGGGAGGACAATGTGCCCAGTACAGACAGAGGGAATACATTTCACTGGTATTGCTGCTAAACTCTTCATTGCCTTATTCAGGAGATAGCTTTGTTGTTCCTACTAAGTGAAGGAGCTCAGCCTTTAAAATTGCATCCATTTCTTTGGCACACAGGCCATTATGCCTTGTGTTTGATTGTCTAGTAATAAATACTTGCTGGGAATGATGCCCCTGAATTTCCTATTCCCCAAACCAGTAATTCAGAATGTGATTTCAGCAGATACGAGCCATGGTTGAACACTCAGAGATATTGCTTATTCTGGCCAAAGCTGTTCAGAGCTGTGCCAGAACAGGAGTGAATTCAGCTGAAAAGGAACCCAAACAAAACTTGTTTTTTCAGCTGCATCAGGTCCCTCATTCAGGTTATCACAGTTCTGCAAACAGAAGCATCCCTGAATGTCAGACAGCCTTTCATTCCAACACTGCCACCAAAAACTAGCTCATTAAACTACAAAAGTCTTCAGCTATTGCAGTACCTTGAGATATTCCTGCCCTCTATTTTTGCTGTCTTAGGCAGAACTTTGTGGGCAGTTATCCTTTGAATTGGATCAGGGAACTGATGTGTCTTTTTATAAATTTGCTTTAAAGCACAGGTCATGCAAAGAGGACTAGAGAAGTGGCATGCAGTGGCCATTGTGGAGGTTGCTATGAATTGCTCCATGGAACACTTTGTGGTGTGACACCACAGCCTTTGTATGTACCTTTCAGCATGACCTATCTGCACCCACTGACTCCTCTAGTTCAGACCAGTCCATGAACTGACAAATGCTTTTGATAAAAACATTTTAAACTGAATGAATGCCCAGGGCTCATTTTTTCTACTTGACTGATTTAGACGTAACAGTGTTCAAACACTCTGGGTGAAGAGGAGGTGGTGGTAAATGGCCCCCAAACCTGTCTGTGAGGACACTGCAACTGTGGAAGTGCACAATTCCTCACCTGTCTTAAAATGTTCATCTTTCAATGGGTTGTGTTTTCTATTCAATTTTTGCCTTTCCATTCAATCCTTAACGTTTTGTCCATCTGCCAACAAAGAGTAGACAGTCTAAGATAATTCCTGCTTTTGAAGGAGACACTTTTAGTACCACCCTTAGCCAGATTCACAAGGGAATTGTGCCACAATTTTGTGTATTTATAACTGAATATTTGATGGCTGCAACAAACCAGAAAAATAATGACAAGAAAAAATCTTTCCTTTTCTAAAAGAATATAAAATTATTGATCAATTTTAAACAAAATATCAGTAATTGGGAAAACGTTTATTCCAATCAGCAGGATTGTTATCTTGCTTGGCTCTCAGATGCACTGATTAAATGTGCCGTCCTCCATATAATCATCTGTGGAAAGGGAGACAATTCTTTAGATCCATAGACATAAACTACATTTTATTCAGAAAATGCAGAAAGGTAACCTTTGGCATTTTGAAAAGCAACTTCCAAAAGTATTGGATTCTTTTATGGTGGCTCTGATTGCCTGCTGAAGGCTTTGTGAATATTGTCACAGGGAAATAGCCTCCACCTTCTAAAAAAACCCACCAAGCCAAAACCACACACACACAAAGAGCCAAAACCCAATACAAGGAGTCCACAACTGAAGAAAAAAACACTACATTTTAAATATCTACAAACTGAAGCAATGAAAATAAAATCTCATCTTTAAAAACATTGAAAAGCATATCAGTTAGTTAGTTTCATTTTTCTGTTTATGCTGTCTCCAGTGATAAACCCCCCTTAGCTTAGCTAAACTTTTCTGAAGTTTTGCTTTCTCCATAGGCGAAAGTTAAAAAGGACCAACCAGAAGGCAAGGGAAACCTACCTCAGCTCTACTTTCTATGGAACAGTTGTAAATGTCTCACAGGAATTTAGCATTATAGCAAGTTAAATAATGGAAGAAACCCAAATAATCAAATAAAATACCCAAACATTAGAAATGCACTAGAATTTTACAGATGGTAAGCCAAACTTTAATATTGTTTAAATTAACATAGGTTAATTAAACACTACACAATTTGATGTCGTAACATTTTTACCATTGGAAAACAGATGTTAAACAAAATTATCTGTAGTGATTCCATAGTGCCTCTTCATTTCTGAAATGGTGTTAAGGACTTTATTAAAATGAAACTAAATTCCTCCCTCTCTGGCCACAGAAAAGAATACCGAGGTTATATAGCTGTCCTTAAACTAGCCAAACAGCATGAGGGAAAAAGGCATCTTTTAAATTACAAGCAGAGTTGTATAGAGCCAGATATCTTTCAAAGAACAAGAAATCATGTAGAAATTATCTATAATCAAATTGTTCATGGAAACAACCCTTGTCTAATAAAATCCCCTCCACCCAAGTAAGTTCATTTTTGAGTTACTGCCTATCAGCCCAATGCTTGCTATGTACAGACATATGCTTGCTTGTCTTGTACAGACAGACTTGTTCACTCTTTTACAGACTTAATTTAAAAACATGCCTGCTCTACATATTTTCCAGCAGGACAGTCAATAAGCTGCTAACTTGATATGTTGCTTTACAATTCATCTTAAAACAGACAATTAAGTTAAATGCAGCAGAAGGATGCAGACAGTCCCAGCAGTTATGGTTCACTGATAGTGTATTCTGCAGCTCAAACTGAAGTCTTATGGTGGATCAAGCTATTTTTCTTTTATATCCCTAGAAAATTCTACTAAATTACCCATATTTTGACACCTGTAATTCAAGTATAAGGGAGAGAATGAAAACAGATTTTTCTTCTGGCTTTCTTGGAGCTTGTGTAGCAATAAAGAAGTTACCAGGCTTTTTTGCCTTTTCTAGTATATTCAGTGAATGCCTCAGGAAAAGGAAATGCCAATTTCCTTCTCTCCATTTAATACTTCAAAATAAAACAAAAAGACTATGCAAAGTGGTTACCAAGGCAGATTCCAACTTGCTCATGCAGGCAAGATAAGCAGACAAGATAAAGCAGGCAAGTGCAGATTGGTTTATGGGATGTGAATTACAAAGACAGTCATCTTTCCCTTGAAATCGTTAATCATCATTCATCTCCTAACAATTTATTATCCTCCACAGACAATCAAGAAAAAGCTATACCTTGCAATCTGAGTTTGCAGGCTAAAATGCTAGTCTGAAAAGCAGAAGAAGCCACCACCAACTGCCACAACCACAACCACTTTCATTT